AGACGTTCAAAATGGAAAAACGTGTGCGTTGTTCTTAGTTACTTGAAATAAAATTTGAAGTAATAATTTCATACATTAATTTGAATGGTTTTTTGTCCATTAAATAAATATATTTACTAGAAAAAATAATTCCGATATAACGAATTTTTCGATTTAACGAAAGGGCCTGACATTATATCATTATACCGGGATTAGCCTGCATTTGGAAATTTTTGTTTCTCTTATGAAATATCGGTATTGGTATTTTAGCGTTATCGATATTTTGGCTTATTTCGGTATTGATATTTTTTGCGTTATCGGTATTTTGGCTTATTTCGGTATCGGTATTTTAGCGGTAACGGCAGTTGTGTTGAAAAGGTATTTTAGCGGTAACGATAGCTAAGCGACATTCGGTGCATTTACCTTATTACCCTATAAGAACAGAGACAGTCATTTTACCGGTCAATTGACTGACACTACTGAGAATATACCCATCATTGCGTAGAACAAAGCTCCCATCACTTTTTTAAGGGCAGTATGTAAAAAGTGATGGAAACGTTTGTGTACATGTGATGTTGCATCACCCTCGCACTTATGAATTCTATCGACTTTAAAACATATATTTGAGCTGCTCACTCTTTTGTTGTTTACTAATCATGGATGATATAAATATTAGTCATGATTGACTAATCATGCTTGATGGATATATCCATCACAGTTAACAAATAAAAAAATGATGCATTAATCGATCATTGTTGATTAATCACACTTAATGAATATATCCGTCAAATCTGACGGCTATACCAATTTATAATAAAACACAATTTATAAATATTTTAATATATATATTGTTAATTTAATTAATATAGTAATCATATACTTAAATTACCAGTCTTTTCACCATTTTACATATCTCTCAGAATCTTAAGTCCTCTGATGCTCCTATTAATTTGTGGAAATAAGTTGTCTGTAAAGAAATACATAAGTATTCATAAATATCGAAATATAAAAATCATAAGTACATATTTATGTTACCATAGATTGATTAAACTCCGAATTGTTTATCTTCTGCTCCACTTCCTGCACTTTTTTAAAATTTAGTTTATAATAATTCTCTTTATTTTTAATAATTTAAAGACTTTGTAATTTTTTTATTTCTTCGCTTCTTGATCTTTGGCTTTCGCAGAAACAATTAATTTGTAACGAAGAAAAATACAACCATGTAACACAGTGACAGTCATTTGATCGGTCATTTGACTGTCATTGTTGATGAAAATATAAATTTTAATACATATTAATCAAAATGTAGTTGTTTCATTCTTTCATATGCAAATTCAACCCTATACCACACATTGGGTCCAGTAACGGTCATTTTACCGGTCATTTGACTGTCATTGTTGATAGAATCATCCATTAAATTTTTTTTTCGACAATTCTATAAAAAAAATGTTGCATGTGTGTTAGTAAAATCATTTTGTATGTGTTAGTTTCGGTCATTCCCCTGCCGGCAACTCCACTAACTTTAAATGCATTAAAAGCCGAATTTTTCATCAACTAGTTATGGTTGATTCTTGGATTATTTTTAATGGAGCCAACTGACTATTTTAACATGGCGATGTCCTACGCAGTAGTCAATTGTCCGACTCTGCGTTACTTTTCAACTAGCTTAAAGTTAGTTACTAAAAATTAGCTTAATCTTAACTCTTTATTAACTAACTTAAAGTTAGTTGCAGAAAAGTCAAGTAATAGTTTTCTTTTGTATTACATACTGTATTAATTAATTACATTTTAATTAAATATATTTAAAATTACATTTCGCTTTAATACAAGTTATGATATTAGTTCGTTGAAATTAATAGACATCAGTTTTCTGCAGGGGAACTAATAATAACACCGGTATCCATAAAATTATGAACGATTTGTTAATTATTTCCATGATTCCCATTGATCCAAATCTAAAATAAATTTTAAAATATTATAAGGGGTTTCATTTAAACGCATAAGTTTACGATTTGTGCAAGTGGGCAAGTTTATTCGACTTGTTTCATGAAACCCCTGTTCAAATTTTGTTCAATTACAATATTTATAAACATTTTAAAACAATGTCAATCTAAATAAAAAAATAAAAAATTAATTATTTTAACAAAAAATTGTACAAAATATGTTTAAAATGTGAACATTCAAGTCCATAAATTCAAAAGTGAACAATAGTGAACGGATTTATAAAATGCACAATGAGTTTGCTCAAGTTTGCCAGTCTAAAGGCCTAACTATAATATGCTTAAACAAACTGAAGTCAGCTTAAGCAACTGTGCGAACACATATAAAATGTATGTGACAAACTATAATGTACTTAAGAGAGTTTCGTCAAGTTTCGTCAAATTTTATTTGCTTAAGCAAAGAGCGATACTGACAGCACATTACGTACGGAATCAATTGTTTGTTTATTATACACAAAGAAAATAAAGAAAAAAATGGAAAGCTAAAAGAAAATTAATTTATTTCAATAAAATATTTTGAAATATGTATTTTATTTATTACGTGTGTCACATAAATGTGTAAATGGAGCTAAATTGTTTTGAATACACGTAAGTACATTATAGCCACCTAAAAGTTTCCTCGGATTTTCTTCAACATTTGAGAGACTTTTCGTTCGATTGTTACATTACCTTAAGCAAGCTTATGCACATTATAGTTGGGCCTTAAAGGCCCAAATAGACTATACAAACGGCTTGACAAACATACCAATATTTTACGTTTGTGCAAGCCTGTTGTGTAGTGTATGAGGGTGTTTCGTGTTTGTACAAATGCTTGCTGTTTGTTTGTACAAAAATTAAAAAAATTTGGTTTTTACACAAACATAATGAATTTTTGTCAAACCATTTGTATGGTTTATAATCATTAATAACACATTTTTCAAAAAATTTACATTTCTAAGAAAATTTGAGATCTGTACCTCTGAAAGTCCACAAAAACGTGAAAAAATCGGTGTTTGTACGAGCAATGTTTGTGTAGTGTGTGTGCGAATGAAAAAAGTATGTTTGATAAGCCGCTTGTGTAGTCTATTTGGGCCTTAAATAGTCGCTCAAACTTATAAGGGTTGAATTGTAAGGGTTCCATACAATTCAATTGCGAGAATGGAAACATGCACAGGTTGCACAGTTTACGAGGGTTTTGAACGTTTAAATGAAAACACTTTATGTGTAATGTTAACTATTAATATATTAAGGGTTTTCATTTAAACGCTTAAGTTTCCCATTTGTGCAAGTGTGCAAGTTTATTCGACTTGTTTCATGAAACCCCTGTTCAAATTCTGTTCAATTACAATATTTGTAAACATTTAAAAACTATGTCAAACGAAATTAAAAAATAAAAAATTAATTATTTAAACAAAAAAAGTATCAAAAATACATTTAAAATGTGAATATTCAAGTTCTTAAGTTAAAAAGTGGTCAATACAGAGCGGTTTTATTAAATGCACAATGAGACTGTTCAAGTTTGCCAGTCTAAATAGTCGCTCAAATTTATAAGGGTTGTGCAAATCAATTGCCATACAATTCAATTGCGAGAATGGAAACTTGCACAGTTTACGAGAGTTTTGAACGTTTAAATGAGAACCTTTATTATATTTCCAGTATTATTCAGCAGAATTTAACCTTTTATAATTAATTTTTCCAATTTACTGACTCTAATTTCACAACGTATACAAGAAAATGCCAAAAATGTAAAACAAAATTCCAAATAATAAAGAAACATGAGAAAACATGTCGAAACAAAATGCTCTCCAGTTAATTTTGGGGTACTCCTGCATTATATGATAGTTAGCTTGTAGCTAGTCTTTAAAAGTCGGTTGTTTACGTTAATAAATACCAAATTTTAGAACATTTCTGCATTACATTGTTGTTCGTTTATAGTCAGTCTACTAGAGTTAACAAATAAAATCATAATAATAGAGAAACAAGAGAAAACATGTTATTATCTTATTAATTCTCTCCAGATAATTTTGGGACACTTCTGTATTACATGATAGGTAGCTTGTAGTTAGTCTTTAAATGTCGGTTCTTTACGTTGCCAAATACAAAATTTCGGGACAGCTCTGCATTACATTGTAGTTAACTTATAGTCAGTCTCTAAAAGTAAACTAGAAGTGAATTTTTCTCGTAGTCGACTACAAAATTGCTGGCAGGGTCATTTCTTATAGGGTAGATATTTATCAATAATTGCAATAATTTATCAAAAATTGCAATAAAAAATAAGTAAAAATAAGAAAATGAGCAATTGTGATGTTAATTTTGTCGCAAAATATTTGTTATTCGGATACTTTTAATGATAGTTTAAATGTTATATGTACAAGAATAAAAAAATATATATTTTTTAACATAAAAATCTTTAATTAAAGAAATATTGTGAATATTTTCAACTGGAATTGGTTGGAATTAAATACGTAATTTTCTCATTTTAATAAGAAAACAAATCATTCTTTAAATTTAGTTGGTTTATATTTTAACAAAACAAATGCATAAAAATGATCATAATCTTTTTCTGTAAAATATGTAAAAAAAATGTATGTGCCAATTTTGATTTAGCTATCTAAAATTGCCCAGATTGATTATTATGTATGTACATATTTGATAATTTTGTACGAATGCAATTTTTTTTTAATTGTTAGTGCAGTTTTAGTTCTGTTATAATTCAGTTCTAATTTAATTGAGTTCCAGTTTAGTTCTAATTCAGTTCTTGTTCTGATCTAGTTCACTTCTAGCATATATAGCCCGGAGTAGGAGAGAACCTACAAAAGGGGATTTTTTTGTACTTTTTCGTTCTATAACATTGATTGTAGAAACATGAAATTAAGTATGTTGGGCCCCATGTAAATAAAACCCTATAAAATGGCATACTTTACTATTGGAATCTAGGACCATAGAATTAAGGAGATTTTTTGGTACATTTTCGTTTTGCTATTTTTTATTTTTTGTAATATAATTCGTACTGACTTTTTTCTTTATTAATACACTGTGGTGATGGATATATAAGATTCGGCACAGCCGAATATAGAACTCTTACTTGTTTTTATTACATTTTATTTGATTTTTTTCTTATGCAATTAATTTTTTCTTCAAAGTACAATTTAATTTTCTTAAATAACAATTTAATTTTGCTGGTGAACAACCACAGCGCTACCAACTCGTCGACGATCACAAATTGGTTGGGGCCAATTACTTTTTAAACCAATGGCTGTCAAAGCCGAGAAAGCTCTATTAGGTGGCAAATAATTTATATCATGCCCGACTTTAATAAAATATTCTTCGGTATGATCAGGTACCTCAGGTTCTACATCAACAACCATGGGTGCCAGTTGATGGTGTATCCGACCTGAATTTACAGATTTTTCAATGGATTCGTCGAAAACGAAATATCGTAAAATTGTCTGAAAAGATAAATTACAAACAATTATTAAAAAATAAATTTAATAAAACTTAAAAATAGACCAACATCAGTTACAATTTCTTTTAATTTAATGTAATAAAAAAATTTAATTGGCACCCCAAAGTCTGGTCAAAGACTCTGATCTATTACAAATTATTGCTATACGTACAATTGGGACGAACGACCTATTTCGTTCTGTAAGACTAATTAATTATAATGGGGAGTAATTTCATTATGAAATAATTCCTCAAAATTCAAATATGAAATAAATCTCTAAAAATACTTTTGAGGAGTTATTTCATTATATTACTTTTATCACACGAAAAAATATATGTATGATAACCGGCCTTCGGCCGTACGCAAGGGTTTTCTCCTCTGAGGTATATTGGACACCGGCTTCGCTAAGAATACACTCTCCGTGTAACAAGAGCGTTCTGCCTTAGGCCGGCTGTTTAGGACATCTTTACTAAGCGAAGCCGGTGTTGGACATATTATAGAGTGGCAAATCCTCGCGTCCGGCCGTAGGCCGCTTATTTAGGTAATATTTTTCTTTAGATTTTAAGGCATTTTTTATTCATTTTATATTTTGATAATATCGCTTAAAAGTTGCTACGAATGACGATATTTACATATATGTATGTATGTATATAAAAATATGCATTCAATGTAAATTATTTGAGTTTTAGCTGTGTGTATTATACTTATTTTGAATGTTCTGAAGAACATAATTAGGAGCAAATATTTGTGCGTACAGGTAAAGTTATACGAAAAACTTTAAAAGGGGTATATTTTGTTGTACTCAATTAAAAAACGAATACTTAATTATTCTAGTCTTTTAGTAAATGAGTGATATGATAATAAAATTTACCATAATTCTAAAAATTAGTGAACATTAGAAATAAGTGACGAAAGGATCGATCCATAAAGTCCTAAAAATTTACAACATTTCTAAGGCGTATAAGGCCGCATATCGATATTGCAGATAAACTTCCCACAAAAGGATTGTATAATAATAATCTTGGGTGCCCCGGTAGGCTAGTTGGTAGTGTGCTAGCCTGTCAGTCTGGGGGTTGTGGGTTCGATTCCCAGCAGAGATCCTGGTCTGCTACACTACAACGGTCGTATGGTTATCGTCAACCTGCTCGGTAAATTAGGTTAGAATATAATTTGTAATTGTATTGTAATGGAAAAATAAATAATACTCTTATGCCGAAAATAAAGGATCGATCCATTCGTATATACCTTTGTATGGGCGCAATAGGAAATATTGGATCGATTGTAAAGATTTTTAACATGCCCTAAAAAAATAAAGTGTGACAAAATTCATCGCAATATCGTTGGTAGTTTCTGAGAAAACTTCAAAAGAATTAGGAAAAAAAACGTAATTTTTTTCGAGATAGTCTGAAGTTTTTACTCATAACTTTTTACGTTGTGAACCGATTTTGCTGATTTTCAATACCAAACTAAAATATTTTGGGTGAATTTAGTTGATTTCCTTTACTTAGTTTTAACGTGAGCGTGTTTTACACAGACAGACAGACGGACATAGCTAAATCGACTCAGAATTTCATAAGGACCCAGAATATATATACTTTGTTGGGTCTTAGATGAATATTTCTTGGTGTTACACACGGAACGACAAACTTATATATACCCTCTATCACCACTGATGGTGGTGGAGGGTATAATAAATAAAAAGAAGGAAACTCGATCTTTCTTTATCAATATTATGGCTTTTTTACAATATTTTTTCCTATAACAAACAAAATTATAATTTTCAACATCTTTGAGTTCAATTCTATGTCAATTTTTTAATAATTTGTTTGAATAAACTTCAATACAAATTTATTAAAAAAAGATATTTAGCTTTTACAAATGCTAAAAGAAAATTCATTATTTCTTTTTAGTCGGAAAGTTCTGGAAAGCAACTATTTGCTTAATTTAGCAACTATTTTTTTAATTTTGATAAAAAAAAGAGATGTGTGATTCGTAATTCAGCTCTGGGTGGAGGAAGATCGTCGTGCGTCGTTGCCATTATCGCTTAAGGGTAATCAGGCCGTCCTTTTTGCTCTGCCTTCGAGAATTTTACGTTTCAAACAGCATTGGCCAATGTTTGACGTCAGATAACTGTACCGAGTTACAGTTTTTCTTGAGGTGCATATTTGGCCATGTGCATTCGTGTTAACTTAACCTAAGTTTTTAATTTTAACAATTGGAACATATGAGCTAGTTTTTTCTAGCTAGAATTGGTGATGGCGTTATATAATTTTAATTACTGGCCAAATAAATCTTAGTTTCGAATACTAAATAACTTAAAGAACAAACAAACAAAAAGAGATGTAAAAAAGTCACTACAAATAACACATTCGAAGTACATCAAGTTTTGATGAAAACCCAATGAAATTAACATAAGAGAGTCATTGAAAGAATGTGGTTTATTTTTGACATACAAATATCGGATTTTTACAGCTTCTAAAAATAAGATTATATGTATTTAGTTCAAAGTTATCAAAAATGAACAACATACCAGCAATGACACGCAATGAAAATTCTAGATCTTTTCCCACACTTTTTTTTTTGCTGGGAACTGTCCCTTGCAAATGCATGTCCAAACTTTGGCTCACATTTACATTTTTTATTTGAGGTAATAAGACAATAAAATTTCACTATTAGAAATTGAAAAATCACTTTTATCCGTCCAAAAAACATATTTGTTAGAACACAAATAAGTACAGTCGCACAATATATCAATTGGATATGTATGTATTTGAAAGGTTCAAACTTTTACAAAAAACGAACATCAGAAAGAACTCACCTGAGCTACGGATGTGGTGATTCTAGAACCACCTGCACCACCCACTAACAGTTGAACGTGTCCATTTTTATCCAATACTATACTGGGACAAGTGGATGACATTGGTCGTTTTCCAGGTTTAATATAATTTGCTGGCGACGCAGGTATTCCATAAGCATTAACTTTCCCGGGAGTGGAGAAATCGTCCATTTCATCGTTTAAAATAATACCAGTTTGACGAGAACGAACTTTTGCACCTAAGCTAGTTTAAAAATATATAGGTTTTAAATTATTAGAAATAAAAGATAGTTCAAACACATTTGAATACAACATTTTCGATTTCTAATTGGTATGTAGTATGTAAGGGTGGGCCGAAAATAAGCTTTCTCTCGTATCAACTTCTAACAGTGAAATTATGTTGTATTTTAACGTCAATATATATTATCAATAATACATATGCATTATCAAATAATAAGAAATTTTAATAACTCAAAACTTCTTTAACCAATTTTTAGTTTTTCTGTCTTTTTGGAAAGACAATTTTGCAGACAATCGTAATGTCTGTCTTGCTATAATATTTGGTAAAAAATAATACTTAATACCTAATTTTGTGAAAACAAACTGCAAGACGTTCCATTTTCTCCCATAAAACGCATTTACAAACTTTGGCGGCGATGCGCGGGCTCTTACCCTCAAAATAATTAAATAATATTTTGCAGACTTCCATTTGACTTTAAAATACAACATAATTTCATTATTAGAAGTTGATACGAGAGAAAAGCTTTTCGACCCAGCCTAATGTATGTACATTAGAGTGCCCTCGAGAAATATCACTCAATCTATGCGTATTAATGTACTGAACGTGAAAAATAAAATTTTGGAATGGTCCTCAGTTCCCTACCAGCGATTGGAAATCCTGACCTCAGTATAATTATTAAAAAATAAAATATTTTGGAATTTTTCAAAATGGGTCTCAAAAATTCCGTAATTTTGAACTGATTACGAGAAAAATAATTTTAATTTTTGTAGACCATTTTTGGTCCAATGATTTTTAGTGGGTTGGAGAGGCATATTGTTTTCGCATTTTATCGAAATGGGTGTCAAAATTATTGTAATTTGTATGCCCTTTATAATACAATAAAAGTCGTTTTGCGGACCAGAAATACAGTATCAAAAATTTTAATTATTTTACCAGCGATAATCTCAAAATTGACACCCATTTCCAAACGATTGCAGAAACATTTTTTTGTACATATTGTACTGAGATCAAGATTTTCAATCGCAGGTAGGGAACTGAGCACTTTTCCAAAAAAAAAAAATATATATAAAACTTTGATAAAATAAAAAATTTATAAAACTTTGATGAATATTTCATGTCAAGTGACCCAACTCAAAAAATCCATTTTGATGCACCAAGGTTAGTACTACTGGATAGTATGTCAGAAACAAATTTTCAGCTCTATCGGTCAAGAACTGCCGGACTTAGAGGGTCAAAGTTGGACATTTTGGTCATACAGGGTTTTCTTCAAATTAATGTAACTTTTGGTCCCAGCAAAAATTATCCAAAGTAGTTCAGATAGCTATTTCTTCGTTGTTTCCAAAAAAAAATTTAATATTTTTTAATTTTTTTAATCATTTTTACTTAAATTTTTATAGTCCCATAATGGGATGCGAGTAGGATATCTATCAAAAAATCTATCTAGGTCATCTAGCGATGACCGTTCGTGAGCTGGACCAAATTAAAAAAAAGTATTTTGGAATTATTCTTTTTAAATTTTTGTTTTGAAGCAAAATGGCCAATATGGAGTATCATTTGAAAGGGATTTTAAACCGCGTCCAATGATGTATTAATCATAAATAACCGTCTGCTCATAATTGCCATATTCCAAAATATTTCAAATTGTTAGGTTTTTCACTAATAAAAATAAAATGTATGCACAATTTTACAAATTGTGCGCACCACTAGACGTGGCTTCAAATGATACCACATATTGTATTGTAAACACCGTAAAATTTAAAAAAAATAACAAAAAAGAGTGTTTTTTGTAACCGGTCCAGCTCACGAACGGACATCGATAGACTAGAAATATTTTGGGAACCATCATAAAACAAAACAACATTTTTTTGAAACTGGGTAAAATATTTAATTGAACATGAAAAATCGTGTCTCCCATACGATATTTTCTTGGAAACTGTCCAGCTCACGGACAGGTAAACACTAAACCCAAAATATTACATAACAGCGAATATTTTGAGGGGATTAACTCAAGCATCATTTTTTATAATAAAAATATAAATAATAAAGTATTAAATTTCATGTTTACCTTAATTCAGAAATACATACATATGTTTACAAAGTATTAAATTTCATGTTTACCTTAATTCAGAAATACATACATATGTTTACAATTTGTTGACAAAAAGGATTTTCTATCCTTATAAATTTTTCATCATGATATTAGTGTTTATTAGTGAATTTTGACCATCAAGTTATTTTTGAAAGGGACTTTGAATGGGGGAAAGAAATATTTTTTATTTTTTTTATCAAGCAAATTATGCTAAAAAGCATTTAGCATAATTTTAAAAAACTTCAATGCATTTTTTCTAAATCTAGCATTGAAAATGCTAAAATGGCAACACTGAACTACACCTATAAAACGACATAGAAGTCAGAGAGTTTCTGAGCCAATTCTAATCTCCAGATATCTTCGTTAATAAGTCCAAGTTGAAATAAAACCTGGGTTTACTTTAAATTAATCTGTACTAAATTTATGAAATCACATAAAAATGTGATTTTTTATAAATAATGTTTTTTTTATACTTTTTCTCGATTAATGAATGAGCTAATAACTTAAAAATAATTTGAAGTAAATGTTTTTGTTAAAAATTAAATTAAAATTTAGTAGTCGGTTATTGAAACATTTCGAAAATTGCAACAATCCCGATTTCATTTCGGTTTTTATTATTACATTTTTTATTACATTTTTTATAGTACCGGAAATATATATACATATGTATGTACAGTACAGAATATATTTAATTTAAATATATTTTGTATACACATACATGTATTTACCGTTATATCCTCACAATCAACTTTTTATTTTATAACAGGTTTTTTAAATAAAATTTCGTTACAAAATTTGTTTTATAAACAAGTAATAAAATAAAAATTTTATTATGAATAAGGCCATAAATTCGTATGTGAAATATACATATGTACATATGTACGTATTCGTCAAAATAAGAAATGGGAGTTAATCGACTAGTTAATTTGTAAAATAAGTGGAAAATAATTAAAAATTTGAGAAGCAAACAACATTTGAACAATGTTTATACAAGCACATACATACATATTAGGCTTCACGCAATATTTTTCAAATTGTGATAATATAATATTGGCGTAATTATTTTTTTTAAATTTCAACTTCTTCATCTGCATATCTGCGGCCAAAAGACCGATTTTGGGCGACATTTTTTGATAGACCAAAAACTGCTGTACATATTTCAAATCTGACTTTAGTATACTATTCTACAGGAAAATTTAAGATATATAAACTTAATTTGACAGAATTTGGATGCACTATAAATGCATAAGAGCAAAAGAAAAAATGCAATTTAAAAAAAAAATTTCAAAAATTGATTTTATCATTCGAAAATATAATATTCAATGCCCTTAAAAAAATTGTGTTAAAATTTTTAATTTATTGTAATCCGTTTAGGATTTATGATGTTTATAATGTTAACTTGTGGGTTAATAATTTCCCATCAAACAATGGTGTTTTTCATCATCACTTCCGAATTTAATAAAGCTCCACCCAATTAATGTTCCCTATATAACTTGTATAATGACAAATTTTGGCCCTTATAACTTTCGTGGATTTCGAAATATAGCGCTGTAAAGTTTAAAATCTGAAAATTTAAAGTCTCATCACATCTAAAGGGTTATTGATAGAATTTTTGTTTTTGCACCATTTTTTTCAGCAAAAAGCATACTTTGATTATGCGTAAAGAAAAAAAAATTTTTGAAATATTTTTTTAAAAAAGTGCATCTTTGGATAATTCTAAATGCACTTTTGGAGCATTATAAAAGTGTGAATTTCAGCACATTCTTACCGATTTGTCCTATAAAATCAATTATTAAAGCATGATTTGCTATTGATCCTGCAGATTCTGCTCTGTAAAAAATGTCGCTCAAAATCAGTGGTTTCCGCCTCATATATGCAGATGAAGGAGTTGGAATTTTGAAAAAATTATTACAGTATTGTGATCACTGATACAAAAACCTTCTTAAAAGTTGTGATATCACAAAAACAGGAAACATTTTGTTTTTTCAAACGAAGCCTAATACATATGTATGTATATTTACATATTACCAAACTAATTTCCCCCAATATTTAAATATACTTACTGGCTATTTATGGTACTAGTTACCGAAATAGCATCACCGTTTGGTGCCAATACAACCATATTAGCAGTACCATGATCTTCTACATTTGTAAAGTTAGCACCGTAATAGGCCATATCAGCGAAGGTGTGGTCATCTTTAATTAGATCCCTAATTTCTGCTGCAAAAGCAGGGCTCATTAATTGTTCATACACCTTAGATACCTGCGGCTCAAAATGAATATCTCCCAGATTTGTACGATGACCGTACGCATGTTTAAATGTTTCAACAACACGTTGCCAATAGATGTCATGGTGTCTTGTGTAAAGTGGTTCCATTACATTTAAAATAAATGCTAAGATAGCACCACTCGTTGGTAAAGGTGTTGTATATAATTCATAGCCTCCAGTAAATCGAGCAACAATTGGTTTTTCCCAACGGACCCTATATAAAATATAAATAAAATCAAACAACATTTACTATTTAGTGGATAATAATTGTTTAATAAATTATAATGTTTATACATGTATGTACATACATACATATATTATTTTTTTTAATTCCGAATTCTATGAATAAATATACGAAATATACGAATAAAATCCTCAAAACCCCATATTTTTTACCAGATATACTTATCTATACTACAAGACTTTAATAATCTAAATTAGAAAAAAATGAAAGCTTATAAAAGCTTATGAAAGCTTATAAAATTTCCTTCCTTATTTTAAATTATAGTAAAGGTTTTGATAAAATCGTTTCTTTCCAGAAGAAATTTTTTATTTTATTTCTAAAAAGCAAAATACGGAAATGAGTTCGGAATGGAATTCTGTGAAATAGCTTAAAATCATAGATGGGCACACTGCAGTATCAGTAAAATTATATTTTTATTGGTTACTGAAAAAATCAGTATTCAGTAAGTTTTTATTGGTTACTGAAAAATATTACTGATTATTGCAAAAAATTGCTGTAATTTTTATTGGTTACTGCAGTATTTTACTGATTACGAAAAATGTGTTTACAGTTTTCCGTAAAATCTTATAATTTACTGAAAATTGTATTTTCAACATATTTTTAACAATTCTATTTTTAGCAATTCTGCGTACTCCGATTTTTATAATCAGCTCTTATCCTTATAAAAGGACTTCAAAGTTTAAAGGACTTACAATTTCAAACGAATATTTTAAATATTTAGATGTGTTGTATGATGCTAATATTGGTATCAAATGAAAGCTGGGAATCCATACATTCTACCTATATTACATATTTATTTGACTCGCTTAGACAAAAAATCAAAAAATATATTAAATTTAAAAAAGGTCTCATTTTCGAAACAAAAATTTGTAACTACTTTTTTGTTAAACATTTTCTTTAAGCTTCCATTTCTTTTTTAATCCTGATGAATTGAAATAAATAATAAATTCTTTATATAATTTTGGAATTCCGTCTTTTGAAATCATATGTCCCTTAAACTTTAAGGTCCTTTTACAGCATAAGAGCTGATTATAAAAAACTGAGTATACAGAGTTAATACTAATGGTCTACAGTTTCCTGTACATATAGATTTTTTCATGTGTGAAAATAACTGTTGATATAATACATATTTATTTATTATCACAAGTAGCTAGAGTGAGATTAATTTTACTTCTTGGGATTATAAATCTTTACAGCAGACAAGATCTTAGCTACATATGTACAAATTAATATAACATGTTAAGGGCCATTATTACAACTTGCTTTTAATGTTCGTAATAATAAAAGGTAACTTTAATTAAAGTGTGGAATAAAGTGAACTTAAATATTTTCATTATTAGAGTGTGTGCCAATCGGTAACAATTTACTTGAAAATGTAAATTTTTGATAGATATGAGGTAAATAAAATTTTACTAGCTCATCGGGCTACATAAATTTTTGACAAATGAAAAGAAAAATTTGAAAATACAAAAAATAAAATATTTTATAATTTTAGTTTATAATACATATGTGATTGTAGAAATTTACTTTAATAATAAAAAATCAATAAAAGTGTTTCTTTTATTAAAATAAATGCAGATATTCTTGTGAAATTAGTGACAATTGTAAAAATTTAATGTTAGAGTGTGTGCCAATCGGTAACAATTTACTTGAAAATGTAAATTTTTGATAGATATGAGGTGAATAAAATTTTACTAGCTCATAGAGCTACATAAATTTTTGACAAATGAAAAGAAAAATGTTAAAATACAAGAAATAAAATATTTTATAATTTCAGTTTATAATACATTTGTGATTGTAGAAATTTATTTCAATAATAAAAAAAGATTTTCTTGTGCAATTAGTGACAATTGTCAAAATTTAATGTAATCAAAAAGATTTCGTTTGGCACAGCAAAAGTGATAATATTTTCCACCATAAGAAAATTTTATTTTACCATAGAACTTTGCTGCCGTTTGGTACACAGTCTAATCCAAAAAGATATCGTTTGGCACAGCAAAATGTAAAAACGTTCCTACCATAGGAAAATTACAATCCACCATACAACTTTGCTATCATTTGCCACACACTCTTACAACATAATTTTTTATTATACAAAAACCGAAGCATACTTTTAGCCGTTAATAATATTTTTTATATGAAAAATGACATTGAATTTATTTTTCATTCAAATTAAAAAAAAAAAATTCCTAAAGCTTACATTAAATGTTAAAGGTAAGGTGATCTTCCCGTTAGCCTATCGGACACTTTTAGCTAAAGTTGACTTGTAATAACGAAAAACACACTACCTGTACGATAACTTCCTAACTTTAGTTATTGGCAAGTTATAATATTGGGCCTAAATATTATATAGTTTTGTCGGCCAATAAAAAATCGTTGGAAGCATTTATTACATTATATAATATTAGATTATTAAAAGAAATATTGTAAAAGAGATGAATATGGTTATAGTTCTATGAAAATTTTAGTCAAATACAGTATTTAGAATAAATTTTAGTCAATTTCACGGGAATGAAAAATTGTTTAACTCAATGAAATGAATGAAAAAAGTCCAGAATATAAGAAACTCTACCAAAATATATTCAGGTGGGTTTTTAATACCTTAGATTGTTTTTAGCCGAATTGTTCATAATGAATTTAATATTGAATGAATTAAACGAGTCTTTTTATATGTATGTATTACTGCTTGATGTGATTTTTGTAAAAATATAATTTGAAAAAAAAGCTAAATGTCATTAATTTAAAAATCCCTACAAATCGACCAAAAATAGATAAGCGTTTTCCCTACAGGCTATTTTTATAGCACAGTGATGCCCTACATTTGGCATCACTGTGTCCTAATGTAATTCTTAGATTTTTACTAAAGGCCTGTACATGACAACAATAATGCTACAATTTGCTACAAAATTTCGTGTGCTTATGATAGCGCACACGATATTTTTTTAACAAATTTTTGCGTTATTGTTGTCTTGTGCAGGCCTTTTCTTTTTATACATACATATTTTTATAATATACATATTTTACAGAAATGAGAAATGAATTTGTATTACTTACTCATAATCTTGCAAATCCTTTTCTGTTATTATGCCTCCCATATTTTGAATATCTTCTACAAGCATTTTGCCAATGCGTCCACCGCGATACATTGTTTCGGGACCTTCTTCAGCCAATACTGATAAAGTCTCACCCAATTGAGGACGATACATAATTTCACCTTCCTTGTAAAGGTTATTTGTACTAGGATTTATAAAGATTTCGGCCATTGATGGTTCCTTACGTATGCGTTCCGAGTTTAAAGTCAAAACATTTGCCAAGTACTTTGAGACCTTGTGTCCGTTTTTACATAAATCAATAGTTGGCTTAAATAATTTGTTCCACGGTAATTTGCCATATTTCATATGTAATTGCCAAAATCCGAAAATTTCGCTGGGTATAGCAGCAGAAATTGCTCCAGTAATTTCTTTTCCAATAAACATGTCCTGATGAGATGCAGCCGGCGCAGTTTCACGAGCGATTAAAGTCTCTACTTTCCCAGTTTTTTTTGTATATATAGTAGCAACGAAACCACCGCCAATACCTAAGCTATGTGGTAATATTACTCCTTCACATAAGAGAGTTGATATAGCGGCATCAATTGCGGAACCTCCATCTTTTAACATCTGCCTAAAAGATTTTAAAGTTTAGTATTGTTTGGTATTTTTATCAATTATCATATGTATGTATATTCAATTATATTTATACAAACCCTCCAATTTCAGCACATTCTTCACCATTTGATGCTACAGCTCCAACTGCATGGTCCGATGTATCTTTTTGGAGGCCAATAATAATTAATCCGAATGTAACAGCAATAGCAACTAAAACCAATACGATCCATAAAACTATATTATTTTTGCAAAATCTGAAATATCAAAATTGTTATTCCAAGAAATAAAAATGACAATTACTATTACTTCCGATACTAAATTAAACAATCCACTATTTTGTTTTAAATCAATCTATCAATTTTATAGATCACAAGAATTTATTTTCAAAAACGATTTATTTTGAAATATTTTATTTAAAAAAAGTTGTGTTTTGTTGCTAACGTTCAAAGGCAATCTTCTATATCTACAGTGAATCAATTAAGTAATTTGCCTATGTAAAATTTTATAAATTTTAAGAAAAAACTTTATCTGAACAATTATTTTTAGCAAAATAAAGCAATTTGCTTGTTGTATTTTTTAAAGAATATCTTATATTTTAATTTTCTACAATAAAATGTAAAATCGTGATATTAATTAACGAGATTTTTGATAAAATGTGAACTTATTGTTAATTTTTAAGGTCAATAAAGTATTTTGCTTTTTTAGGTTTTTTGTTAATTTTTTTAATATTGCTGCATTATTTTATAAAATTTAATATTTTTATTACTCGTATATATTAGACTGACATTTTTTAGATATTTTAGTAGAGGAACGACTAAGTTTGGACATTTCTTAACCGATTTATTATCCTATATACCTATAAGAATTTTTCAATATTTGACTTAACATGAAATCTATCGTTTCTTTGATTTAATTTCGAAAATAATTGGATACATGATATATTAGGAAATCAATGGATTTGGGCCTAGAAAAAATATTAGTGGGGTATAAATCTATATATTATAACAAAAATAATCTGGGTTTTGGTCATTTTGTATTGATAAACAAAAACTACATTACGGAAACCCCATCTATTTGGGGAGTACTGTGTGAATTTTATTTAGAATTGTATAATATTGATTCTTATTCAATAAAGCTAACACTAAGTACCAACCTAGCCACTCTAAGTATGGGGATATCACCTTATACCACTATAGAACTATTACATGCTAGAATTTTGATATTCTACCTCATATTTTGAATGCATTATTTTATGAATAAAATACAGTAGGCGTAGCTGGATTTGGATAGTTATTCTTGATTTGGGTTCTAACTATATATAAGTGTATGTATTAGCTAAAAAATATTGCTTTTGTGGATCTTAGGTGATGAGAACCGCCTCTATTTGTAAATACCTAAATTAAGTATTTTTCCCGTACCACACGATAGTTCACTTTATATTGTTTCCAAGCAACCTAAGGTCTGTTTAGAGGTCTAAATTTAAACATAGTGTTCTTTTAAGTTCGTATATGGACTTTGGAGAAGATAAATGAGAACTTCAATGGTTTTTACTTGGATACAAGTCGCTCTCCTTTGGCAGTTAAAGATTTTGAAGGACAACTCAGTGCGTTTTTTTTATAATTCTTTGTGTTATTTCATCAATTTCTATATTTTATATTTTTTAATGATTGATTAAATATATCATAATTGAATTTTATTGATTTATACTTGTTCTAAAAATCTAAACTAATTTTTTATATTGGAATTGCCTATTATTTCCCTTCAAACATTTTTAACGCAAATAACTACACAGTTTCACACAATAAGGATATGATTCTTGAAAATTCCAATTGAAAAATACTTAACACGTGTCCTTTTAACAATAAAACAATAAATTCCAAAAAGCAATTAAAAAATAATTTGAAAAACCCAACGAAATTAACTGGAAATTTCAATATGCAAAATACTTTATTGACGTTCAAATTCTGATGAAAAATAATAAAATGCAACAACAAATGCGCCAAAATTTTTATTTTAATATTTTTTTCTTGGTTTTCCCATTCTACACAATCTCTATTTTCAATTGGAAAACATAAATTTACTTTTTACCTGTTTTATTTATGAACAAAAAACAAAATTCTCGCAAAAAAAAAAGGTAGGCAAAAAACTTGAGTTGATTCACTGTATATAAAATTACTGACTCGCTGACAGACTGACTGATTCATCAACGCACAGCCTAAACGGTTGAAGCTAAAGCGCTGAAATTTGGACACGAGATTGGTCTCCCACCAAAAAGATCCACTAAGACGGATCTTTTTGGTGGAAATTCGAATTTGTGGATATTCTCCTAAACTAGAAAATATACAAAATCAATTTAAAGCTTATTGTCGTTCATTTAAAAAATAAGCGGATAGGTGTCTGGTACTTTTTTCAAATTCGGCCCCTTTAGGGAATAAACGTGTAAAAACTGTAATTTGGTACTTTTTGCATCCCATGTATCTTTTTGGAGAAATTGATAGATTTAGTAACACTAAATATACAAATGGGGTGTTACTTGGAACTCCGGTACAAAGGACTATTTTTTTGTATTTTTTCGTTTTTTAACTGGTACTTTCGTGTTTTTTATAATATGATCCTAGAAAATAAGATTGTAGAGCCCAGACAAAATGAGAATCTATAAAATGGGACTTTTTGGTACTTTCTCGTTCTTCAAAAGGTACTTTTTGAATTATCTATAATATTGCAGCATGAAACATGAAATTATGCATGTAGAGACCGGAGTTAATGAGAACCCATAAAAGGGGACTTTTTGGTACTTTTTCGTTGTTTAACTGGTACTTTTTGAGTTTTCTATAATATTGAAACATGAAATTAAGCATGTAGAGCCCGTAGTAAATGAGAACCTATAAAAGACGGCTTTTTGGTACTTTTTCGTTTTCAAATGGTACTTTTTCAGATTTCTATAATATTGAACATAAAAACATAAAATTAAGCATGTAAAGACCGAACTAAACGAGAACCTATAAAAGTGGACTTTTTGGCACTTTTTCGTTCTTTAACTGGTACTTTTTGAGTTTTCTATAATATTGAACCTAGAAACATGAAATTAAGGGTGTAGAGCCCAGAGTAAAGGAGAACCTATAAAAGGGGACTTTTTGGTACTTTTTCGATCTTCAAAAGGTACTTTTTCAATTTTCTATAATATTGAAACTAGAAACATGAAATTTAGCATGTAGAGACCGGATTATATGAGAACCCATGAATGGGTTTTTGTGTTTTCTATAATATTGAACCTAGAAACATTAAATTAAGCATGTAGAGCCTGGAGTAAATAAGAACCTATAAAAGGGTAATTTTTGGTACTTTTTCGTTCTTAAATAGGTACTTTTTGAATTTTCTATAATATTGAACCTAGAGACATAAAATTAGGCATTTAGATCCCGGAGTAAATAAGAACCTATACAAGAGAACCCTTTGGTACTTTTACTTTCATCAACTGCTACTTTTTGAGTTTTCAATTATATTAAACATAGAAATTCAAAACTAATGAAAATCTAAAATGGAGTATTTTCTGGTACTTTTTCGTTTTTTAACTGGAACTTTTTGAATTTTCGATAATATTGAACATAGAAACATGAAATAAAAGATATCTTTTGGTATGTTTTCTTCCTTCAACTGATTATTTTTGAGATTTTTAAAATATTGAATATATGTATGTATAAACATAAAATGAAACACGTATTCTCCTGGTTGAACAAAAATATATAAAAAGAGAATTTCTGGTACTTTGTTTTAATAATACTTTTTGAATTTTCTATAATTATGAGAAACCCTTGTTAATTATTTTATAACTTTATTATTTTATTTAAATGTATTTTAAATCTAGTAGCCTTATTCTGATACTCGAAGTTTTTTACTTTGAATTGATTGTCATAATTTAATATTCATTGAAAATAGTTTTTCATATTAATAAAAAGACTTTCGTTTAAACCTTTGTAATAAAAAGACGTGTTTTTTTTATAAAGGCAAAAGTTTTAAGTCTTTTAGAAGTGGGATCTGAACGGATATTTAAATAAACAACGAATTTTTACCTAACGTTTCCAAGATGAAAAAACTTTCAACATTGAAAGCGGACGAGCTAAAACAGTTATTACGTGAATGTGAATTACCAACATCAGGTTCAAAGGCAGAACTTGTTTTACGTCTCTCAAGTTTCCTTGGTACCGATGAAATTTGTGAAAACGACGAGGATATTGATGAATTCGAGGATTCAATTATCCCTCCTCCTAACGACGAGGAATCAAACGTAACTCAAATTCCTCAAAACAGTAATGTTATGAGCTTCCAGTGGCAAGTTGATGACTTAAAGAAAATGTTGGAAAATACGATGAATATATTCCAAACGTATGTGGACACTAATCGTCAACAAAACGCTACATCAAACATACAACATGTAGCTAATATGCAAGGTCAATATGTCAATACAATATCTAACGAATACCCAAGTTCACGTCAAAATGCAAATTATTCTGTTCAAGAAATTGTCGAAACAATTCCAGAATTTGAACCACCGAACGAATTGTCATTATCTGTTGAACAATTTGTGGAACGTGTAGATAGTGCAATACAGGCATATCGATGGGAAGAAAAGTGTTTACTTCTTGCAGTGTACAGTAAAATGAAAGGCGCCGCTCGTTTATGGTTAGATTCTCTTCAAGTTCTGCATTCCAAATGGAATGATTTTTCCAGAGAGTTAATAAGAGAATTTGCAGCGTCACAAGATGAAGCAGAAATTCATTTTAAAATGATAAGTGCCATTCGGAAAAGTGATGAAAAAGTTGAGCGAAAAAGCAATCTTTAAATATATTCGGGAAGGACTACAGAATCGCGAAATTCAAGTTGCTATCGCAGCTCATAAAATCGATTCGGTTAAACAATTACGGGAAATTTTAAGTGAGTACGAAAGAAATGTGTCCGATAAACGTATGTTAAAAACAAATGATACCAAAAATAAAAGTGGAATCGGAGCACTACCTAAAGACATTAATAGTGACAATCCGAAAAGATAATACACAAATAAATCGGGAAAAGAAATTAAGTGTTATAACTGTAAGGAAATAGGTCACATTTCTACAAATTGTCCAAAACCTCAAAAACGTCATCGTTGTGAAAAATGTCATAAAGTTCACGCGAAAAATGAAACTGAATGTAAGCAGAATGTCGCAATAAGAAATATGTTTTGTTTCGGTAATGATATTTTCAAAATAAATGTGAA